CTGACTCGAAGAGCAGCGTAAGCGGTCTCTTTTGAAAGTTCAGCGAACCCTTATAAGGCGCAGGAAAAAGCACATGATGTAAACTTTGAGGTGGATTACCTAACGTAACCAAAAAATCAGAAGGGGAGGAGGACGAATTTTGACCTACAAACATAATAATTGATTTTAACAAACCCCCCAAAAAAAAAAACACAAATCCATTCCACTCTACGAACATCCACCACCACAAACACTTTTCAAGTTTTTCATTTTGTAATTTGCATGTCAACCTCCGAAAGTTGATACACCTGTCCACTAGGCACGAGCGATTCCTGGACGTAAACGAGGCGTGTCGCCCACAGGTGAATGAATGTTATGAATGTTGCCCGCTTTCTGTCTGTCCTCCTCCTGCACGATAATCCCCCATCCATCCAACCATCCAACCATCCGGTTAGACCCACTTCGGAGTGGAAAGGCTCATTTGACGCGTGGATGGCACACGACGCCCATAGCACGATGGCCAAACAAAGTGAACTAAAATGCTGTTTAAACATATCACAAAGTTGTAGAAAATCAATAAGCTGTTGTTGTTGTTGTTTGGGGTGGTTTGGGGTGGTTTGTCGTCCTCTTTAATGGCAAGGAAATGCCAGCCAAGTGACTTGTTTTGCCTTTGAGCAGCGCAGTGCAAAGCGAAAAGCAGAAAATGTAATGTGTAGCATTCATACGGAAGTCGGAAGCACTTTTGCAACATGCTAGCCAAAGATGATGCAAGTTGCGTTGAGGCGTTCATAATGAGGATGATGATGATGGGCGACACGATTACTGAGAGAGTCTGCTTGATAAGAAAAAAAAATGGGAAACGAGGAGGCGGAAGAAATACGCGTGCCATTAAGCAACTAAATCAAGTATCTCAAATACATAGATTAGGATACCAAAAGTGAGCACTTTAACTAAGAAATCCAATCCTTATTATGGGTTCGCCATTTTTCTATTCATCAACATCAAATTCTTTTCTGCGGTAAGTGAACATACGAAACCTAACGCCCCCACATTTCCCACTTTATTTTGGCTTTATATAAACATTTCACGAGAAAAAGCCATTTACTCGTTTTCTTTAAATGTATACAAAATGCAAAAAATAAAACACAAAAGGAAAAACAAAGAAAAGAAAGCAAATCTCATGCAAGTTAAAGCCTCAAAAAATGTATAATATACATTATTATTCTCTTTTTCCTCTCTGTACCACGTTTTTGATTTTTTTTTTCAAGTTTCTTTCAGCGACTGTCGAAAAAGAGCTTTGAACTTGAAGTGCACAGACACAAAATAGGCAAAACTATACAAATACTGTGTTTATGCTATGATTTTCATGAATTCTTGAATACGTGACTTCCATGGGTAAGTGAATACATGAAATGGTTTGTTATGTGATGATTCCATAAAGTGGACTTCGCATAAACCGAGTGGAAGTGCAAAAGATACTAAGATACACTGCGGAACAAGGAGAACTGTTCGGTTTGCTTTCCATCTTCTTAGCGACATTCAAATCGCCAAATGTTGTCGGACTGGTTCAGCAAGCTCTGGCCAGTATCTCCCTCTATCAATTCAGTTTGTCTCATTCCTTCTCCCTAACTAGCCCTGGGAATTGGGTTGCCCCAAGTGCTTTGATTCCCCCTTTCATTAGATGAAAAACCGAGAATTAATACCCAAACCTACTGTATGTGTTGCTATTGCAGCGCTCGTTTGCGATTCCAGTGTTTGAGTAAAAAACAATTAAGCGATAAAATTGCTAGAAATGACCATGCTCGGTTTAAGTCTATAAATTGATCTTTTCCGGCAAAATACAAGCACAGCATAGAGTTTTATTGGATCGCTTCAGTACTGCAAAAAACACAAAATAAATAGCTTCTTTTATGGATAGATAGAAAGAAACATCCATGTTTAACAGTTTTCCGCATGTGAAGTAAAATTATTCTATCATTAACTCCCCAAAAAATAATGAAAATAAGTAAGCCATTAAGATTCCTTGCATAAGCATAAAATATATAGTCTAATCTGCTTAACTCCCCATTTTTCTGGTTATGCGCGCCCACATGCAAGTGAAAAATTTGAATTTAATTGAATGCATCCTCATTAGAGAAGCAGACGAAGTCATTTCTGAACGAGCAATTCAGGGTTGCCCTCCCCTGTTTAACCTCATTGGCGCTGATTTGATTTGATTATCGCAAACATTTTTCGCACTCGGCAAACCGTTTTGACTGCGAAATTGGAATTCCACCAACGGGGCAAATTGAATTGCCCATTTCGAGCTCAGTTGCCCAAGGCAAGACGTCTCGCCTTCGAAGGACTTAAATCGAAGCCACAGCCAAAGCCTTTCCTTCTCGATGGTCTGCTATTTTTAGACAACTCGTTCAATGAACATATTTCACAGGGCGAAGCGCGAGGATTAAGTGTCCTCATCGCAAATTCCACACTGGATTTGTTTTTGGAATGCAGAAGCACATCAAATTAGCCTGAAATTCACGCTGAAGATGGCAGTTTACATATGTATCGTATATATATACTTTGATACCAAAGGCGGAACTGGTTATGTTAACGAGTGATACTTAGTACCTTTCAAGAATATTTTTTGCCGGTTGAAATTTCATAATTGAACCCATCTGTCAGCACAACAAATTCAACTTACAAGGAAAGGGAGTTATGGAGTTATGGATTTATTAGCTTTTATAAGTTTTTATAAATATTGGTTGGTATACATATTTAATTGTATCATTTTCTTAGGTAATAAATTTTTGGCACCAAGCTCTCGGAATATCATTAACTAATCTTTGACATAAATTCCTCGAATTGGTCAATTCTTAATAACTCGTAAAAATGTTAATAAAATGATTGTACTGTTATTCATTTTAAAACAATTTAATGTTTTCCAGGAATTACTCGAGTTTTGAAAGGACATAATCGCGGGGCTAAAATTTGATTCGAGTGGCAGAGTTATTCATAATATGGAAATTCTAGGAAATATTTTATGAAATATGTGAAAAAAAATTGTATGAGTGGTGGTACAATCACTTATGCCAGATTTTTATTGACGGAAATCAAAGAAATTTTAAGCCATAAAAAAAATAGTTTTTTTCTATTTAAACTAAAGTTCCAAATCGGTTATAAATTAACAACATGCAAGTTTAAAATTTACTTTTAACGTGTTTCTAGAATAAAACCGAATATAACTTTAGTAAACTGGTGTTTTATTAAAACTGTAATTTATATATTTTTTTTTATTTAATTTTTTCAGAGGTTTTAGATGTTTTTGTAATAACTTTTTAGATAGGACTTACCTCTAAATTAAAAAACGACACACAATATGCGCAGAGTTTTTCTTTTAGTGGGCGGAAGCGCTGAGGTTACAAACAGCTGATTAATTGACGGAGACACAAGAAAAAATTAAATTTTTAATACACCGATAACACACTTGCCACTTAAATAAAATGAAAAAACTTCAGTCATGAAATAGAAAACAATCCATAAAAATCGAAAAAGGTGGCAGCACCAATACAACAGCAGATGCACACCAATACAACTGTTTTTCCAAAGGGCGTCGTACGTAGTTTGTGTTTTGGAAAATATCTACAATTGTTTTACAACAATTGAAATACAACTTGGCAATTAAAGAGTATAACTAGTTGCGATTGTGAGATTTCAGAAACACGCTTTTGTTGATGTAGTCGCTGGTTTTTCCACTTCCACTTTGTCAAGAACGGAAGAACGAGATAGAAAGATGAAAACCACCTCCTCCCCCCACACAACGATTTCAGATTAGTTTTTTAGGCTCAGCTTTTCGCATTTTGCAAAATTCGTTTGAAACAATGCATCTGTGCAAACTGTATGCCTGATTGCTTAAGCAACACTCTTTTTGATTTTTGTTTTACATTTTTCTGGTGAAAAGGCTCACATTCACACGCACACACAGCAACACTAAACACGCACTTGAAAGACGCTGCTTACCAGAAGGCAGCCACACTAACAACGACTGGCTCCGTTCGCTTTTTGTTTTTGCAAACTCCAGACGATATACTATATTGCTTGAATCAACTGGCGAAATTACTTTATTCTTTGCACTTGTTTAATTGGCAGCAGAAACGCGATGATGCGCCACCCACGACCGAAACAGTGTGACCACAGCTAATAGTGTGGCCTCTATCACGAATTTAATTAAAACCAAATCACTAATGCTTAAAATATACTACTTTTGTTTGGTGAAAATACACTAAATATACCAAACATATTTAAAATAACCGCATTCCACTAGCACATATTCGTACAACTGAAAAATGTTTAGGGTTTATAAAAAGGATAAATTAGCGTGGAATTTTTGAGATAGTTTGGATTTGTTAACATTCAACGTTTTTAATACTAAAAGGGTTTTGTTCAATGGCAAGCACTTCTTATAACGGCAGCCTAAAGATTAAATTAATTTTATATGGGTTTAAAATTATTAAGTTTCAACGTTTTATAATTTTTCCTTAAACGAGTAGTAATATTACAGGCATACCATATATAATCTCTCTCCTTAGATTACCATTAGCAGATATTAATATAATATACAATATAATAATATATTTTTTGTAAAACCTGAGCTGAAGGCCCTAGCTTTCCTCTGCTTCTTAATAATTTTAATTACTAGTTAGCTCTTAATAAATAAATAAAAGGACGGACATATGATTTTACTAACTCTGGTGTTTGGTGTTATTCCGCAAGTGCATGGCTCAGATTGGATGTGATAAAATGATTTCCCCTTAGAAATATGGTATTATCATAGACGTGGAAAAAGTCTCGTTTTCTATGAGTATTAGTACATTTACTAATATATTTTATATCTGAATATTTGTTGCGAGTGGAAAAAATTGTATTTTAGTTTTATCAACAGTTATCGTATAAACAATTTTTTTTTGCCTGTTCTGTTTCAAAATACTTGTTTTCAAACATAAACAACAGTCTTGCACACCTGCAAGAGTTGGGATAATCCACATTGCAGAATTCGGTATCACTAAAATATTTGCCCATAAAATGCGCATAAAAACGAGTAGATCTATTTGAAAAGATAAAAACAAAAGAAACAGGACAACGATAATGTCTGTGCTGCGATTCCTAGTGACCCGCCAGGCCTTGGCTGCTTTGTCGAGGCCAAGGACCTTCAACATACTCCAAAAACCAGCCCAAATCGCATTGGCCTCCACTTTGTGCAACCAAAATAGCAACAAAATTGTTCAGGATCTTACCAAATCGAGTGCCAATTTAAGTCCGACGCAAATTAGAGGCTATAAACGTTTCGGCCATAAGGAAGAAAAGACGCCCAATGTGACAAAATACTTTCACATGTTTATCCTTAGCTTGTTCATGATATCGGTGCTGGATTGGGGCAAGTGAGTATAAACTAACCAATAAAGTATTTTTGCAAAGTCCGAACAATTTACGATTATGGAATCTATTTATAGAGTAAAGCGTCTACTGATGCCAAAAGTGGACGCGGATGCTGGACAACATCCTTCTTCAGCGGCCGGCGTTAATGGCGAGGATAAGTCATCCGATTCCGAATCGGAAGATGGCGAAGATGAGGATGGTGGCTCCGATTTGCACCTGCATGGAGGAAAGAAGATCCGCGAGAAAGTCGGTTTCCGCGAAAGAAAGGTATTAGCTTGACGACGCTACATAAATCTGCTTTCTTTAACTCTGTAAAACGTCCTGTAAATTTTGGTTTTTATCCGGTTTTCACATTCTAGTTCTGTACACTATTAAATTCTATTCTGAGCTTAGTTAAAAATGTGTAACAATTTTTGTTATGTATTGTTCGGTATAAAAATGTATTGCTTTGATAAGAAATATTTTTATAATTAAAAAAACATGACAAACGTTATACAAATTTAAGTCATACTAAAATTTGCCTATTTTTAAGTAAAAAGTTTTTTTTGTTCATTTTATCAAAGCAAATACCAAATTATTGGTCTTTAGACATTCTAATAAATGGGTAAAGAATAATTCTTAAATAAATTTCATTTAAAGCTGTGCAAACCGGAGCAAACCCCTAAAAAAACGATTTCAATATATTTCTAAATTTATTATATTACGTTCGCAAAAAATCTTTGTTTCTTTTACTTTTATGTTCGTGCCGTCTTGTTTTTTACCCACCATCAAACACAAAAAAAAACATCACACACAACCGAAGATCATTGAGTATGAGAACCGTATACGGCAATTCTCTACGCCGGACAAGATTTTCCGGTACTTTGCTACCGTGCGATTACAGGATGCCACGCAAACGATTGTCTGTATGACTCCCGAGGATTTTCTACGCTCTATATATCCGGGAATCAAGCAGCCAGATGGTAATTGACTCATCCAGATGCCCATGTCTAGAATTATATATTATTTTGTTGACACATTTGAGTTAGCTTTAGGTTTGGTTTATTTTCTGACCCTCAGTTCAGTGGAATTTATTTCGTTTTTCACATTTCCTACCTTCGTGCGCTAAAGTAATGTCGTTTGCCTTAGATAATTGAGTACGAGAACCGCATACGGCAGTTCTCCACTCCGGACAAAGTGTTTCGTTACTTTGCCACCATCCAGGTGCCCGTGGCCGACGATCGTCATGAAGTCTACATGACTCCGACCGATTTTTTAACCAGTATGACGCCCGGCATGAAGCAACCAGATGGTATGTGTCAGTAAACCGTATAGGGAAAAGCTATAGAAAGTCCTTATTAATACTAACATTTTAAATGTGATATCTTGTCTTGCAATAATGGTTATTTATTTTAGGCTTGGGTCTGGACCAATATCGTCGTTATGATCCTAAGGTAAGTTTATTAATTCAAATTTTATTCATATCTGAACCCATAGCAGATATAAGATAGTGTAATAAAAATATTTTACTTATTAAAAACTGTAAATATTAAACTAACTAATAAATTAGATATTCATTAACTCTCTCCCTCTCGCATTTTCAGTCTGTTGGCGACCAGCTAAATCTTCACCTTCAGAAGGACAGCATTTTTTATAAACTTGGCTCTTATGGACTGATCACCTTCTCCGACTACATTTTCCTGCTCACAGTGCTCTCAAGTAATACGAAATGTTACCTATAAATGTGGTAAAATTACAATGTTTCTTTTAACAGTTTCCCGTCGCCACTTTGAGATTGCCTTCCGCATGTTTGATTTAAATGGAGACGGCGATGTTGACTGCGAGGAATTCGAAATGGTGGCCACTTTGGTGCGACAGCAAACTAGCATGGGAACCCGACATCGCGATCACGCTAATACAGGAAACACCTTTAAGGTAATAAGCCTTTATTTTCCTAGAAAAAAGCATAAAAAAGAGAGTACCTCGAGCCGTACTAAAAACGTTTACTTTTTATATATTTGTATATTCTCTGTCTTTTGGCTTTGACCCTATATATTGAACGCTGTCTAAACTGTGTACATATCAAATCTTAACTTCCCTCTGTTTTTGACGTACTAACAGTCCTTAAAGGTACTTTGTGTGATAATGCTTATTAACTTTTTTTGCCCTTTCGAATATATTTTGAAACATTCAAACACAATCGCACTCAACTAAAACTAAGTCACATTTTGTCTACGGTAGTAAATCCACCGATGCACCTGCTCCCACGCATACAAGTTTAAATGTTTAATGTTCAAATAGAAATCAATATAAAATATTAATTATCTTATTTTGATTCCTTTCTTCAGGGTGTAAATTCAGCTTTAATCACATATTTCTTTGGCCCCAATATGGATGAAAAGCTGACTATCGAAAAATTCCTGGATTTCCAGGAGCAATTGCAAAAGGAGATTTTGTCCCTCGAATTTGAGAGAAAAGAACCCAACGAAGAAGGCAATATAACGGAAGCAGATTTCGCTGAACTTCTTCTGGCCTACGCTGGGTATCCCTTGAAGAAGAAGCAAAAGAAATTGAAGAGAGTTAAGAGGAGATTTAGGGATCACGGGAAAGGCATCTCCAAACAGGATTATCTGGATTTCTTTCACTTTCTGAACAACATCAATGACGTGGATACTGCTCTGACTTTCTATCACATTGCCGGTGCTTCAATTGATCAGCAAACACTGCAGCATGTGGCCAAAACGGTGGCCATGGTCAATCTTTCCGATCATGTAGTGGATGTGGTTTTTACCATCTTTGATGAGAACAGTAAGTCTTGGATCTTGAAAAAGAGTTTAGCTAGCTAAAATTTAAAAATTTAAATTTAATTTAACAATGATGCAGTTACACCCATGTTTTCTGTTTTATGTAACTAAATTATTCCAATCCCTTTTAGATGACAACCAACTCAGCAACAAGGAATTTATTTCGGTTATGAAAAATCGTGTTCAGCGGGGATTGGAAAAACCTAAAGACACTGGGTTCCTTAAAATGATGCGATCGGTGTTCAAGTGTGCCAAGGAAACCAAGCCCGTACTGCTTGGCATCTAAAGATCATTACATTGTGGATTCTCCCGCTCTAAGCGCCCCAATCTTAGTCATTTTTTTTACGCTTACTCCTCTTTACTATTTATTTTTGTAGTTAACGTGTTCATAAATCGATTTTAGCTCAATCTCTTTAATTGTTGGACTCCCAAGCAGATTTGCTTTTGTATATTTCACCCACTCTTGTGCACTTAATACTTTAATTTTTTAATAAAAGTATATATCATAATATTTATAAATAAATACAATTGATAAGGCGCTTTAATAGGGAGCTTATCGTTTAGTTCAGTAAGTTTTCATAACAAATACATGTTGGACCAAGGCTCCTGATCAAGGATTTAATTTTCAGTTTCAGTTCTTTAGAGTTACATTCTTTAAAAGGCTTATTTTAAATGTAGCATGATAGCTGCTTAGCATGGGGAATGTTTTAGGATGATTAATAGCTTTAAGCCATGTTTTGACAAAGTTTTTGGATTTACAATTCAATTATAACGGATTTTGATTATTTAGATCAATTTAATACTATTAAGGGTTTAAAAAATTAATAGAGTTAAATTCAATAACAAATCCGTCTATCTATGCCACATCTACCTCTTCTTGCTCCTCGTCCACCACATCATCCACACTCATCCCGTATAATTCCAAGTCGTGCTGCTTGAGATGTGCCGTATAAGCGTCCAATTCCGTGAATCTCTGATGACACTCGCAGCATTCCAGGCAGTCTTCTATAGAACTCTCGCCATCATCATCACTTTCGTAATTGGATGGAGTCTTTAGCTGATCTAGATGACTGGTTTTGTGATCAGCGTACTCCAGGTAGTCCCTGAACTTTAAGGGACACCTGAGACACTTGTACCAGCGATCTCGGACATGAGTGACCATGTGTTTCTTAAGGGTGGAACACTCTCTAAAGGGTTTTCTACACTTGGAGCAGCTAAACGGCTTTTCTCCAGTGTGGATCATATAGTGCCGTTTAAGATTATGACGAGTTCCGAATGGACGATGACATAAAGGACAGGGATAGGATCTCCGACTGCGATTTATGGGCTTTACCGATGTGTTTCCATCATTGCTCAAGGAAGATGAGGAGTTGGCACTGCTGCAACTGCGGGGAAGTGGTGGACGACTTGGCTGCGTGGCTTGGGGAACCTTATCAGGTGGAGTTTGAATAGCTGGTATTAAAGTGACCAGCAAAGTTGGCGGTGTTTCTGGTTGTGGCTGTGCCTCTTCCTCTGGCTCATCCTCTTCCTCCTCCTCGTCTTCGTCCATTTCCTCTGCATTCACCTCCATGGTTCTGTCGCCCAGCTCATCTGGCTGGGGTTTAACCATGAGATTCTTGCTCTCACAATCCGCACACCTGGTGGAATCCTGCTCCAAAGGTTTACCCAAATGACAGATCATGCAGATGAACCGAGGATCGTGTGAGTGCCTTCGACGGTGTTTTTTAAGATCACTAAACTCCCGAAAACGACGATCGCAGAGATCGCATGGAAAAGGCCGCTCACCTGAAAGAAACGTTATTAAAATAGATCAGTTGATATTTTCTATTGATTGTTCGATATTTGATACCTGTATGTATCATCATGTGACGTCTTAGATTGTAATTGGATTGCACTTTTTTCCCGCAGTCAGGACACTCGAACAGGTGACGTCCCCTTCTGTTGACATATGGACGTTTCTTTGCTGATCTCCGCGACGAAGAAGGTTTCTTCCTGATCACTGGTTCTGGCTCTCGCTCCTCCTCTTGGTCGGAATGCACGATGATGACCTGCTCCTGGGGATTCTGACTCTGGCCATCCTTTTGCTCCTGCTCGTTTAAAACACAACTTACAGTGTTCGATGGAAGATTGACATCTTCCTCTCCTTCGCTAATTGGATCCTGATCACTATCGCTTAGTTCGATTTCTGCCACAATCCTGTGCTGTTGTCTGGGAATAAGTTCGATATCTGGGGATATCCTTTTTATGGAAGAATTCCAATGTGCCAAACTCCTGGCTGCGCTGATGATCAAACCTGGTTGGACCTCCTCTTCATCTAGTTCGATTACCTTCTGGTATTTTTGCGCCTCTGCTTCCCTTCTTTCCTTCTCCCTTTTCTCCTGTTCCTTTATTCTCTTCAGTTCCAACTCCTTTTCTTGCTGTTGCTGTCCGATTCTCCAAAGGAATCCCTTGATTTTCACATCATCTATGGAGACAAAGTTCTCTTCAGGTTCCTCGTATTCATATCTGACAGGATCGGGAGGAATTAAGCCGCAGCTGGCGTCGCAGCTAGCGTCGCAGCAGGCAGCGGCAGAGCAGCAGGACATAAGAGTGCAATCATTGCAACAGTCCACGCAGGACGATGACTTTTTTAGAGCCAGCTCCATTCTGTCTGCAACGATAGTAATATAATTAACAAGTTAATTGTGTAGAAATCGGGTTTTTTATAGTAGTTCGAAAACGACGATCGCAGTAATTTAACTAAATGTCATTCCTTATTTTTGTTAATAGAGTTTCTGGTGTATACTATTTAAAATCCCTTATCGCAAACTGTGGTTTACGTTAACGTTAATACAAACTTAATTGCCGTGTTACTTTTTCAAACTTACAATCAGCAAAGAGATTCCGGTACACTGGGTAAAGGTTAAAAGAAATTTTAAATATTGTACTAATTAAAGCTAGTGCCCTTAAATGCGCATACCTCTTAAGGATGCTGAACCGAACCGTTTTGTAATTCATAAAGTTGGTGTAGGTCTCATCTGGTCTATACTACATCTTGTACATTTAGTAGTTTGTACATCTCTTTATAATCCTGGTAAGTTAAGTAATGCTCCGCAACGCATACGAACCATATGATCAGCAAGGAGATTCCGATCCAATGAATTCTTCTGCAATCTACTCTTCTCTCTCCGCAACACTGCACTCCTTTTCTTCGCTTTTATCCGCAAGTTTTCTGCGCTCGGCGATGGCGATTCAAGCTGCGTCTGCCGTGCGAAGAAGTGAAGAAGAAACTGGATTCGCGATTCGCGATTTGCGGCTTGCCGAGCAGCAACCTCTCGACAAAAACAACAAATCGCCGCAAAAGTCGAGCTTCGGTCGGCGTCAACGCTAACTGCGCTGCGGCAGCGCTGCTCGCTCTGTGAATCAGCGAAGCGAGCAGAGAACAACAACAATACGGGCGGCGCTTAAGGCTTTTTTTTCGGTATACGAACGTGAGCCTTAACCCACCTCCCCCTTTTGCGTGTTAACTTGATTTTTCTTCGGGCCACGCGAAATACGAAAAACAAAGAAAATGGCTCAACAACAAAGGCTAAAACAAAAACAATTACAGGCAGAGCAACAGGCGAAGCAACAACAACGACAACAGTTCACGATTTTCAAGATTGCTCAGAAAGGCAAAGGCGTAGAGAGGATTTAAGTCAGGGGGGAAAGGAAGAAAGGACTACATATTAAAGGGGGAAATCTAAAAATTTCCACCCATTAAAAATGATCTTGATTTTTTTAAATATAGTACAGGAGGTCTTTTAGTTGGGACAGTCAATATATTCCGAAATTGTTCACGCTATTTTCTATTAAATGCATCTAATCCTTTTTGGGGACTACACTTTTGGAACATAAGCCAAAGCCAATGCCTCAATCTCTCCAAAAATTCACATTTATTCTATTATTTTGTTAAAAGCATGGTACTGAATTTCAAAAGGGGGCAGCTGCTCCCCTTCTTTATATACCTGCCTACGCCCTTGCAGAGAGGCGAAATGAGAGCTGGAGAGAGGTGGATTGAGGAGAGTGGGTGAGTGGGAGTACGGAAGCGTGGAGAGAGCGGTGGGAGGAGCAGCGGAAAAGGGAGCAGCGTGACCAAAGCGTTAAAGCAACAACAACAAACACTTCTATGAGCAGCGACGCCGACGTCAGCGTCGACGCCAAAAAAAATTTTTATTGACGTCCGAGCAGCAGCGCAAAAGTAAAACCGTGCGCCTTCATTTTTTATTCGCAGTTGCTTTTCTTCTTATGTATATCTAGCTTTGTTGTTGCTTTCCTTCTTTTATATACATATGTACATATGCACACATCTGTGTACATTGTACATAAATAAATGTTTTTCAGTAATTGACTTAATTATTGGCTGGTGCTCTTTTACTCCCCATTTTCAGGATAAGCTTTTTCGAAAACATTTTGATCGTTTTTTATGGAGATTAGCAGAAATTTATATATGTATGTATGATTGATGGAAAGTTTTTCGATTACATTTTTCGTTGTAAAATAAATATAACTTTCTTAAATGTTTTCTTTAATGTCAAGGGATAGTGCTTTTAACAAAACCAGTTGCGTTTCTTTTAGTATTGATTTTAGTGTGTCTTAAAAAATGATTGAATTCCATATCACAAGCCATCTGCAACCAAAATGTTTGAAAGTAAAAGCCCATATGCCAGCTCTAAATTATGATCCCTGAGATCCTTCTTTGAAATAAGAAATAGATTTATTTTCATATTTATTCGTACCTTATGAAAATAAAAAAAATTCACTTTAAATATTATTGTAATTGGTAAATAGGTGAAAAAAGCTAGTTGGCTACTTCCTTTGTTCTTTCTTATGTACTTAAAATTAATTGGATTTAAATTTTTCAGAACTTATTAGATATTCAAAAAGTAAGCCCTTGATTTTAAGTGTCACTTTTGAAGGCTAGGATAGCGTGTTTTCTTCTAATTTGTATTCCATTAACGTGGGTAGTTGAGTTCTGCCCCCGGTGCCATCAAGCCAGATCCCCAGATCCGCTTTGAATGCTTGGCTAGGCTCCCCTTTGGTGTCTCGAACTCGGAATATTGGCGATCGTGACTGCACCGCTTACTTATTTTGTTCGCCATAAACTCGTTTATATCGGATCCACACACACGTCCAGTCGCATGAAGTGAACAGAACGAACGCCCACTCGACTTGGTCCGTGTGGAATCGACTTATTGGTCTCGGTCTCGTTCTCTGGCTTTTGGACCTCGATGTCGGCCTGGGGGATTGGCGTCCGTGTACGAAGTACGAGGTTCCAGTATCTACCCATGCACATTATTATATCCTATCTGTGTGGGGAACCAGTATGTCGGTGTTCGGTGTTCGCAAATGGGGAGCAATGCTCGGCATCTCAGTCTCCAGGTGTTCGAACTTTTCAGTGCCTGTGTATGCATACATATATGGATGGATACATACTCGAGCTTGCAGGTGCCTTACATAAAAGGCTTGTATATGGTTGCACGATTTAGTGCTCGGATATATTGTTATTAACCTTGGGTCTTTTCAAAATAGTAATTGTCTTTTTCTTAGTATCTGCCCGTTAAATAAACTTGTCTTTTCATAAACTCCTTTTAAATAAAGAATTAGTTTTAGAATATTTTTTTATTGATAATGTCAATAAATAAGGAGACTTTAGTTATATACTGAAAGATTTTAAGTTTATAAAACGGTATGCAAAATCTTAAATCCTTAATAAATTTAAAAGCTTTTCATAAATTAATTTAAGATACATAATTAGTTTTATCATATTTTCTTTGATTATGTAAACAAATAAGAAACTTTAATTATATATTAAAATAATTTAAATTTAAAAAACGGTATGAAAAATCTCCAATTTTTGGTGTTGTTTATTGTTTTTATAAAATAAGAAATTTTGATAATTTGAAACTGAAAATTCATTACCTAAAGCGAAAGTACGATTAGGAAAATTTAAATACATACCTCGATTGTACCTAAACCCAAACGAATGTAGCCCTTGCAATCGAAAAATAAAAACAAACAATTGTGATCTATTGAAAAATGTTTAATAGGCAATTCTATCGTTTCTAAGTATAACTTTTCTGAAACTACGTAAATTCGCTTACCATAACTAGAATCGAATTGTAAACCTATAATTTATATGCGTATATATATCGATCAGTTTGTGATTAGGGATACGCGCAGATATCGCCTCGATTAAATTGGATCACATTATAGGCAATATAATGTTGGATTACATACATAGAGGAAACATATTTGGCAAAATTGGGTTTTTTTTTTAGCTAATTCTAGGGTGAGGCGGCGACTAATAACGGAACTAAAGTAACCATATATGGTATATGGGCGTATTAACTTTAAACTTAGATACAAAAAAGGGATTGTTTAATCGAAACATTGTAAATGAAAAACATATCATAACACAAGCATCGGGGAAAAACTCTGGCTATATATTATAAACCTTAGGCTAACACATTAAAAACAAATGTTTGCTAGGGATGAAAGGGCGAGAGAGTGTGTGTTTTTTGATAGATGATATGCAAGATGGTTTAGAACTTGAGACAAACAACTTAACTATGTACAACGAAGCTACGGACTAATATTTAGCAAGTCGGGGGATCGATGAGAGCCCCCAACTAAAGCGTGCATGTGATTGGGTGTTTTGGGTCGATTTTTTTTTTACAAAAATCATAGTACCACTATTTGATCTTTGGACTTTTTAAGCAAACTTAGCTTTGAATACTACAGAACATTTTAAAATTTTAAATGTTTACTGTTTACATTACTTTTGATTTGAAATGTTTTTTCAAAGGCATTATTTCGATTATTGCTTTCATGTTGTGCACCTAGGGTATAGGTACATTTTTGAAAAACTGCATTTTCTATGTTTATCATCTTTCTTTGCATCTTTAATATTTATGGAAATGCAATTTAATATTGAGCATTACCTTCAAGTTGCATTTAAATCGTTTTTTGACACTTTGCAATATAAGTTTTTTGGAAGACAAGAGGCATGGCTGTTCTTTTCGCTTTCTTATACGTGAACAATTAACAAGTTAATGCAGTTCCTATAGTTTTCAAAGTAAATTACATAAAATGAACCAAAGATGAACTCTTGGCGCCTGAGATTATTTCAATTTTTAAGCATCCCTAAAATCGACCCCTAAGCTAAGCTAAACTGCGTACGAAACTCCACCCGATTCTTAAAGCTTTTGCGGCACATCCTTGCCGGTGGCTCCTGTTCTTTCGTGATTAACAACGAACTTCTTGGCGCCCGACAATCCCTGCTTGTTGATATAGAAGCTCTTCTGTGCCAGCGGCGAACCCCCGCCATCCGAATCGACCACCAGGCGATTGAGGAAAGTGGCTGCCGTTTTGGCACCACTATCGCAGGAGGAGGACTCTATGCTGATGGTGGAGCATCCACCGATGGAGGATGTCTCGCTTTTGGCATCGTCCATTAGAGTGGCATCGTCGACCAGGTCGTTGACCAGCACCTGAGTGCTAGACGATGCGGTGGACAGTATGGAGGAGGTGCGACTGCGGCAGGAGGAGAGCGTCTCCGATTCTGGTATCGAGATGCCCTCGTCGATGCTTTGGCTTTGGCTTCCGCCGGAAACGAGGCACATGGCCGCCTCCAGATTGGGCCCACTGCCCACTCCTCCTGGCGAAGCGGAAACGGGCGACGGACAGCCCGAGCTGCTGCTATTGTTATTGTTTAGACCACCTCCGCTCACCGTGTTATTTGTGCACAGCTTCGAGATGAGCAGCTTGGGTGTTATCCGGCCATCAAAGGTTCCGGAATCAGGACTGGGACACACCGACGAGGGCGATTGGCACACCGGTGAGGAGCCACGACTGGAAAAGATAGAGCTATATATTAACTTGGGTACGGAAATCAATTTTAATTTTGTTTGAGAAAGGTGCAGTCCACATTATTTAAATGTCTGCGATAAGGTGAATTTCTTTGAGATTTTATAGACCCATACATTATCTAGCATTTTGCAATTCATTTTACTCGTGCTGAAATATTCAACAAGTTGCATATTTGCTTGTTTATGTTCATTGCATTTCTAATATCATTTTAATTACAGTTTGGTTACAACAAATCTTTATAGCATTTATTTTTATCCCTTTGAAAAATATAAAGGCATCTACTATACAATTAGAAAACAATGTAAATTAGACACAGAAAAGCTAAATATTATTTTAAGATAAGGTTTGAAGTAATTATTTTAGCTATTAAACAATATTGGGTATAAAATTGTTTAATAAGTAAATAGGTAAACATAAAAATAGCTTTAATATTTGGCTATCAACATTTGTTGCTTAAAAAATTTCTTATCGGGAGCGATTTTAAAATGCGATAAAAGCCCTAACTTTCTAAACTGACCAATTGTATTGTAGGTAAGTAATGTCGTTGCTCTTAAAAAAATTAAAACAAGTATAAAAAGCTTCAGGTCACTAAAAGCTTAACATAAAAATAAAGTTTGTTATCTTCTTGTTTTAGCAGCCTGATCAAAAATACTCGTACAAAAGCATGAGATAAACTTTTGTAAAACGTGCCGTGAGTTTAATTACCCCAATAGCTAAAAATAATCTAATTAAAATAGGTCGAAGCGTAAATATTTTTTTGTAAATAGTATCTGTCACATAAAATATCCTACTTTCATTTTTTTGATTAGAAAAACCCAGAAAGTTAAATCTAGAAAATTCAGTTCGAGGGTTCTTACGTGACTTGGGATTTATAAAATCATAAACAATTAATAATCAAGAAAAAAGAAGGGCATACCATAAAGTTAGCAAACAAAATTCAAAAGTTATGTTAGGTATAGGGAGTTTAGTTGTTAATGTTTTATAATTTAAGCAGAATCTTTGAGACTTTTACTTTAAATAGACTTCTCTGATTTTTACTTAAAAAGTATAACTATATTTTACTTGTGATGGGTTAAAAAAAATTAGCCAAACTTGTAAATATAAGGATAAGAATGCCAGTAGGCTTTCCAAAATAAAAGTCTAATTAATAGAATCGAAAATAACTCCTATTTACAGTCCTGGTTTTGAGCCATGCATTTTTAAATGGATGATGTGAACCTTATACAATATGTTATCTTTTTATGTTATGTTAACTAAGCTAACCCTTTCTTGTATATAAGTCAATCGATGCTTGTCGAGCTGCCAATGTCTTACCTTTCTGTGAATATCTTTTTCAGTGGCGGAGGAGAGTAGACACTCCAGTTGCTGCCCTGCGTGGGATTGTCGTCCAGCTCAAACTTCCGCTTGACGGGACCCAGTTGAGATGGCCTCATGGCGATGGGGGACATCGATCTCCTGGTGGCAAATGTGCGCCTCGTGGGCGACGGGGAGTAGGGCAATCTCATGCCCGCCCGATTGTTCGTGGGACTGGGACTGGAGCAGCCGGTGCTGCCCGTGGGTGGCAGGCTAACCTGCAGGGGGTTGGAGAACTCGTCCGATTTGCATGACCAGTTCTCGGCCACCAGCGTGAGGTCCTCCCAGCTCTGCGAGATTTGTATTTCCCGATGAACTTCGCGCTCGTGATTGACCTCCCGGCTGTTGAGATCGGCGCATTCTTCCTGCCTCAGTTGGGAAACCCGGGGCGTTAGGCAAAGTGTGGCTCCATTGGCCGCCGTGGTCAATGGACTGTAGCTGGCCGAATATCGCCGGGCTCGAGGAGTGAATATATTGAAGACGGGCGCCGGGGATACCTCCCTCGAATTGGGCTGCGATCGTATGTGTATGTTCTTGCCGAAGCAATCGATGGATGGGACATTCGGCATCTGGATATCCAGCACCGGTTGGCTCTTCTTGGGCGTCTGCTCGTGCTCCTTGGCCGCCAGAGCAGCTGCTGCCGCTGCTCGTGTCGTCATCGGGGTCTTGCCCGATTTTCCCGCCGGCGGAGTCCGGATTATGGGTACACTTAGGCAGCGTTTCAGGGTCTTGGAACTGGTACTCGGTGGCGGCGGGTCCAGAGTGTCCATGGGCACCGCCGAGGCGCTTTCCTGCTGCATCTCCTCGCCACTGGCTTTCGTCTCCGATTCCATTGCCTTCAATCTAAAAATAGCAAGTGTTTACTTTTTGGTTCATAGGGTTATTTATATACCCTTGCAGAGGGTATGGCTAAATTGGGTATCAGCTGTAATGCAATATCAAGTGTTTTCGTTGTGCATTTGTACTTTTCTAGTCTACTAGTTTAGGAACCGAAGTTTAGAACCAATTTTAGGCAAGTTGGAATATTAGTTATTAAACTTTTAATCTCTGTTATTTTTATAATTGTGCTAGAACCACCAGGTTAAATCAAACATAGCTTTGTAACATTTAAAGGTTATTCTATCACAATGGGTTCCTTTGTTATATTTATACTTTTTAATCTTGCTAAATTGCAGTTTATTAACCCTTCGATATCATTATAGCTATTGTTTAATTGATAATTACATTACATTATATTACAATTAAAATAACCTATTTGGCCCCTCTAAAAAAAATGGAATATTTTTAGTTTTTTACATGTATTATTATAATTTAACCGTTCAAAGACAGTTTTATTATTATTTTTAAAGATCTTTCAAGATTGATTAAAAATTGCAGCCCTACGATAAGCTGCCAATGGAACAATAATGATACCAAATGGCCACAACTCTGTTGAATCGAAAGATAAATAAATCAACTATCTTCAAATGCATTTCAAATGTGTTTTAAGGATACTGCTTAGATAAAATTGAAAATCGCATCACTATATCCTTTAGTTCCTATAAGAACGATCGGTGTGCACGGGCTCCGGTGACCGAAGATAACCATCCATTACCAATTTCTGCACTATTTTCCGACCGCCAAAGGTGGCTGAGAATTTCCCGATTTTCCGCAGGACTTCGGGGCGCAGCGGCAGCGCTGCCGGCGTCTCTGCCGCCGCAGGCAGAGATACTGTCTATTTTTTTTCACCCACAAACTGCGTGCCTAGAAAGTCAACTTTTTGCAGGCAATTTTCACGCCCTAAAACCCATTAGCCGTCTTAAATAACTGCTGATTTAGCATCGCCAAAACGTGGAGATCACTTGGCACTACCTTAAATGCCCACAAAACACGTGCAATTGCCTTAAAATACTTACAAAATTGAGTCCTGTGATTGTAATTTTCAGCTACCCGTTTAGTTTTTTTATAGTGTTGGCAGGCGACCAAATACGTGTGACCACATACACGAACAAGCCGAATGACATACCGGGCATGGCCTATAAAAATATAAAGATATTTGATTTACATAGGCTTGGAAAGTAATTAAATACATAACTCAAGAGTATTATTTAACGGTAACGTAGCTTCATGTTTTACCTTTTTTAATATCACTTGGTTTTTCGGCAATCAGCTGATATATAGCCAACGGCATTTTTTGCCTCATGGGGCACACGTCATGCAGCTCTGTGCGCAATCGCTGTTCAACACTGGGCGCGCGCAATTTAAATTTACTCGCTGTTAGGGTGAAATTCAATCAGCTTTTACACATATTCAAACTTCATTTTATAAAAAAACGAACTTTTAATGCAATTTCATAAAAGAAAATTCAAATAACGGCTTACAAATCTTGTTGAGTTATTTCCTTTATTTTTATGAAACAAAACCTGTTAATTTAATAAAGAAAATCAATTTTGTAAATATAAAAGTTATTTACAGTATATATTTTCATTTAATTTGTGTAAATACTTTTGACCACCCCTTCATGTATTAGTGAATTTCCGTAGACGCTTTATAAAACAGTCATTCAATGGAAACAAACGGATGGACGAGAATATCTTGTACTTATTTTCGGATTTACAAAAACCCAAACTAAGCTTTTGCATAAAAATAAAATTTAAAATTAAAAGGATACCTCCATTAATAATGCAATTATAGACACATGTTATATTTATTTATTATGCGTAACTTAAAGAGAAAAACCAATTTATAAGGAACACACATGTGTTCGCAGCTGTTGAATTTTGGTTTCTTCATTGTTTAACTTTAACAAAAATCACAACAAATTATAATAACACAGTCGAACCAAGATATCAGACTAATTGATTCTGTAAACGATACGTAACTTAATTTATAGCGCTAGCCGATTGAAAATGATTTGCAAAGTGGCTGCTCATCCGTTCTTCGGTTTTCGTTTTTGCTCAACTAATAATACTTAAATATCCACTTTGTAATCGGCGAAAATTCCTTTTTACTGATGACTACGATCTAGAGTTACATTTTAAGCTAATTTGTTGCTTGATGCGCGTTTTTACTTCCGGTTTTTTTTTTTTTTCTTGTGTTTTCAAAAGTTACTCCGGTTGCTTTATGGATGGTTTGCAATTGAAATCGTTTGTTACTTTGACCAAGAGTAGAATAAAGATGTATAGATGATGGCTTGATGAATTGCTATGAGCGAGACTTTTGTTGGGTGGCTGAATATTGTTGATTTGCATTGGTTGGGTGTTGGCAAACGCAGAGCATCTGAGCTGAGTTTTCTTGCGGACCGAAAACGACACTTAGCCATCGGACAGGGCGGGCGTCACCCATCCGTACTTTTCGTGTGTCTTAACCAGCGAACGGAACGACTCTTCGGCTTGGCGGCTACAAACGAAAACAAATAGTTCATTTCGGTGTCATAGATGTATATAGATTTTCAAGTTAAATTCTATTCTCTTACCGAGTGAACTCCTTTGTACTCTTTGGCTTTCGTGTAATTCTGCCCTGACCCTTGACTACGCTGGCAGCAAATTGCATGATGACCGCCTCCACCGTATAGGCACTGGCCCATCCGCGGGGCGTTAGGAGTTCCATGCAGATGGCACCGCCTTCCATCACGTAGCCCTTCTCGATGCGCGGCTCCACCACGCGCATGAAAGGCGGGGCGAAGGGAAAGTTGTCGGGGAAACTCAGGTGCAGCAGGATGGCCGGCACACCCATCTCGGCCATGTCCTTGGCCAGTGGTGAGTCGGGATCGATCACGTGCAGTCGTACGTGCCACTCGAAGAGACTGTCGTTCACGAGTTCCACCTGTAAAATGGGATATATTTGATGAGCTGGTTGTAAACGATGCAGCGGCTGCCTTCAGATCACAGAATTTATAGTTCTTGGCAGTTCATTGATCAAAACTATCTGCTTTTAATCCAGGACTAACCGTGAAGACAGCGCCATCCTTGGTCTGCAGTCGCTCCATTTCGCGGTATTCCTTCATGAGGCGGCGGGATCGAATAGTCTGATCCGGCGCCGCCACCAGTTGTCGTCCCGTCATCGGCGCCACTCTGTAAGTAGGATTGCAAGTTCTGGGGTTAGCTCCCCACACAGATTATGGGATGTTTTTTTTGAACGGAGATTTGAGAACAAGAATTTTTTTTTTTTTTTTTTTTTTTTTGTAGCTGCTCACTTGTGATCTTGTCGTCGCCGCTTGCCTGGAGAGTCCCAAACAGCCTGCTCGGCTGCCATGCGGACCACTGCGTTTTTGGTGCCACTAGATGATCCCGATGATCCGCCGCCCACTGCTCCGCCGCCCATTGCCCCGCCTCCTGCCGAGGAGGCAGCAGCCCCATCGTGATTGTTATTGTTGTTGTTGTTGTTGTTATTATTGTTTGTGTTCGGACTGCTGCCAGTGGCGCCATCAACCTTGTCATTGTTGTTATTATTGTTGTTATTATTATTATGGTTGTTGTTATTATTGCTGGACTTCTGGAAGATTTTGCGGAATGCAGTGACAACTCTCTCCTTGGAACGCGATGACATCTTGGTTTGGATTAGCTTGGTCTCCCTTGGATTTGGGTTTTTGGTATTTTCGAGTTCTTTGAGCGGTGGCTTTTGATTTACTAGTTTACTAGTATTGTGTGGGCGTGGTTGTTCAGTCTTCTTCTTTAAATTGTTTCTGGTGCAATGTGGGTCAGTGAATTGGTGCTGAAAATACATAAAAAATGATATGATTTTGTTATTAATAGCATAGTAAAAGCTTAAATATATATTGAAAAGTTTATTTTCAAAAACTGTTTGAGATTTAGAAAACATTAAATGGTTTAATACGATTTAATAGTATATGTCCTGTTGATTAAACAAAAGCACATAAATTTAAAGATTCTTCAGTTTTAAAATAATTGATATGTACATTTAGGTACCGGCGATAAAATCAATGACTGATTTATGTATCGATACGCAAGAATACACTTTCTATTGTGCCCAGCAGACAATATTATGCGCATAACAGCCCATAAAAATTAAAGCGTTTAGCTGAATAAGCAAATTTAAGCGAGACCCAAAGCCTGCCCATTACAATGAACATTTGAGCTATTGAAGTTTTACCCACTTGCAGATGGCATGTGTGTTGGTAGAGAAGAAATGCCGACATTAACATTTGCTTGGGGCAAGCTTATAAAATTAACATACTTGCGCATGCTAAGGATGCTATTACTTGGAATTTGATTCCCTCCAAGCAATTTTCATATTTTAGTAGACCCTTAGCAACACAAAAACACGACCTTGAACTAGCGCCCGCTTTTGTAAACCACACCACACCACAACAATAACCGGAGATACTTTACCATGTCTAGCAGTCATAAGCACAAGCACACATCCTAGGCAAACTTTTTCAAGAGAATAACAAGCCCGCCAACGAAATATGTTAAATACTCGCCTCGACCAAAAACAAAAAAAACGACCCATGATGGCGGCTTTTGAAAAAGGAGCGACATAAAAACTTATTTCGTCGCAGCTAAAAGGATTCTTACAGGGTGGAGGAAGGAACATTTACACATGGGGAAAATATGGTTGTAACAAGCATAAAAATCTTATCTGTGACATCATATTTTAGTAAAAGGTTATTGTTATTGTTATAAGAAACTATATGTTTGTGAAGAAGGTAGTTCAGTTCTCACTTTAAAAATTTATTGAAGGGAGCAATTTTTGATAAAATGTAAAATATAAACTTTGACTCTCCCAGCAGTTAATAAATCGTTAATAAAAATCTTAAATCTTTTTTTTCTATGCAAGAGCCAAAACACTCTAGGCGTCCAAGTTTTATGGCAAAAGTTTACACAGCCTATGGAGTAGCACTTCCTAGACTTATTTCTTTTTCTTAAAGCTGTGGATGCCAAGGAAACACCCACTACTTGCCTTTCACCATGCCATAGAATTGGCCGAGGTGTTGACTGTGGTGTCGCCAAATTGTTTGCCTTGCGCATAATTAGCTTTGACCCCAGTGCACGAGCTCTCAAAGGGGATTTCTGGGGTCACTTACTGGCACTCTGGACTGAAGCCAAGACCAGAACTCGGTGACCAAGGACAACAGATGTGGGCGATACCTTTTTATGAGCGTAGGTGGGGCTAAGGGACTACTATTATTGCAGGAGGAGGGATAAGTATAAGCTAAGCTGAGAGCCAAGAGATCAGATAAAACTGGTTCAAGGGAACCGACTGGAAGTTGGCAAGTATTAGGCGACAAGAAATAAATTTAATGCCTTCGGGGTGAATGGAAAAAAATGTTCTAGCATTACACCATTATTACAAATTAGTTAAAAAACTCAATACCCATTATTGAATACACAAACAAATTGAACATTAATAAAAGGTTATTGGCCTACTTCATTGGCTATATTAATTTACATAACTACGCGATTACATTAATCAGAATGTTTCTCTCGCGTTAAAAAAAAGCTTCCAAATTGTAAACTAAACTTTTGTTTATACAATTATATTTTGGCTTAATGAAAAATCTACAAGTTAATAAATAATTATTTCCTACGCAAGTTTTCCTTCCTTTAGAGCTCATACTTTGTTCATATCCCAGTCAATAGAAGTTTTTCCTTAACTAATATTTATTACACTATTGTCTAGGCTTACGAACTTATTTAATAATCTTGATAAGCTAACAAATCATGAATGATTGATTGACTAATGACCCTGACCGAAGTAAGGGAGTCCACTCCCCGAAACTGACCCAAAACCTCATTAAGAGTTCATTAAGGTTCGAACTATTTCAGGTCCTCCACATATTTTCCTTTTTCCGCCCAGTTATGAGCTATTTCCTTCCCCTGCAGCTCGCTCTTGTGTACCCAACTAAAAGTATTTTCAGACAACATTTTTTGCACTTTTGCTTTCAGCCAGGGCCACTAAAAGGAAAAAACTAAACTGACCGAGGCCGAAACAAAGGCGCCACTGGAATCTTTTCCAAAAGAAAAAAAAAGAAACAAACCCAACAAGTTCCACAAATAATGTAGAAGGGAAAGAAGCGCAGAAAAGTCACGTTGTTGATGGCAATAGGAAATGTTATCGGGCTCCCGGCTCACATTTCTACAGCTCTTGCGCCATTTATTTAACCAAATAAATGTCAACAATGTTGACATATCTCTCCATCCTTAAACACAGACAGACTCTTGAAATATTTATAAAAATTAGGGCGATTCGACTTGTCTGCAGAAACTAGGTTTAAAAACAAAATATTGTGCCCGTTTTTTACAGATCAATAAGAGTATTTTCCCTGCAAATTATTATTATAAATATACATTTATATCTTATCCTTAAAACGAATACAATTTCATTTTTTGTTTAATAATTAGTATATTTGGCTTACTAGTTTCATAACTATTTTCCCTTTATTGAGATCGAACCACCCTAATGCATCCGTATAGATTGGGCGACAAATTGACTACCGCGGTTGAAGTTTTAGTATTCACAAATATAAATCTTATCTGGCGCCACGAAAATCGATATGGCCAAAGCAAAAGCAACACCCGCAGCAAATTACTCTATCCATAGACGAACTTTCCCCATACTTCAACTGACCTACCCCATACAGATATTTAATAATAGCCTTCGGGCTGGCTCTCAATCTCAATCAATGTTGTTTGCAAATCCAAATATAGATAACAGCAAAATGTCGCTAAATCAGGTGGCGGACACTCATTCAAGTTCCCTTCTGGGGATTGAGATTAATAGATTTTTAATTGAGTTTCCCAAAGTAGGAGACTTGTTGTAAAAGGCCCTATCCATTAAAGTGGCTAGCAGTTTTCTGGCCTAAAATTTGGTGTCAGATATGTTTCCGTGTTTTCTTTTGCAAGATTAAGCTTTTAATAAAATGGTAGTCATTTATTATAAGCAGATTTGAATGCTTTTTAATGACACACAAGAATTTAATACCATAATAACATTTAAAAGCGTGGGAAAATACACAGAAGCCAAAAACTTAATAAACAATTAATATAAGCTGATTTTCCAGTCACATTTATATACAATGTACATATGTATGTATACGTGAACAAACACTGTGCTCATGTTTATTGTTGTTTCATAGCATGCAAATTTACTCGCCTGTCGCATGCAAAATTACTGAATGCAATCACGAAAGTAAAAGGGGGAAAGCAATATAACACGAACGGTGAAAATGCAAATATGCAGAAATTAAGAAAAGAAACGAGAACTGTGTCACTATACAAAAAAATCTTGGGATGCTTTTGTTCATTTCTGTCCTTAGCGCGTTTGTTTATTGATTTTTGCTCTTGACAAACTTTTTACCGTGCAATTCTAAATGTAATCTAAAAGTATAAAAGAGTAACAAATAACAGGGTAAATACACCTTCAAAATAAATAAGGATCAATGTTTTAAACTATATATTTTTGCAACAATAATTATTTAATTTTTAATACAAAATATTACTTCTATACACGATTTTTAAAGAAAACAAAATTGCAAAATTAAATTCGGAAATCATTGTATTAAGAAGATACAAATTAAACAATTTAATCGAACAATTTCTTGAAGTGCATAACGCTTAAAGAGAAAGAGATCGTTAATCAACTATTTGGTGCAGCAGCTGAACAATGCGGAAATATTTGTTCAGAGGTAAATGTGGGAGGTGAGGAAAGACGACGAGAGAGATGCTGACTAATGGCCCCTGCAACAGTTCTTTGTTCTCAGCCATTAGCGAACACCTACCAAAGAACACACCCACGGAGAATTAATCCCCAAACCCCCCCTTCGTGACCATCGCACCCATCGAGTGTGGTTGCCATGGCATTCAGCTTTTTCTCCTCTCTCTCAGCTTTTGTACTTGCACTTATCCTATCATCAGTGATGTCAATTAAAAGTAGCTAAATTTAAAATCATTTCTAGCAAAGAACATAAAAAAAATTAGAACCAACGTTAAAAATTTGTACGCCAACTTTCTGCAGTGGTCATCTTATTAAAACATTTAAAATTATTTCATAAGCCAAAATACAAACAAATAAAAAAATTGTATTTTAACATGACCTACAGACCTTGTAAATGAAATCACTTTCAGATAATGCATCGGGTATTGGGCTCTAATTTTTCAAAATTAATTTTGTTTTTCCACCTTAAAATCTCTTGACTTCTTTGTGAAACCAATACTTTGAAAACTAAATAATTTTAAGAAGACAAATTAATTTAACACAAAATCTTCTAATTATCGAGACGAATAAAAATCAGTGGATGTGTTTTGTTTATAGCTAAGCCCCCAACACAGGCAGACGTCCTTTTGCCTCCCACTTTTTCCCCTCTTATGCAGCTTCTCTGCCACTGTTGGCATTGTTCTAGATGGAAGTCCGAGGGTCACCGCTTGTTACGGCTTTGTTAATTTATTTATAAACAATTCCTCGCTCGGACTCTTGTGCACATGCAAATTGAATTAAGTACGGATTTTATTTTCCTCTTTTTTTCTCTCGGTATATATGTACATAAAGCTTTTAAATGTGCATTCAGCATTAATCAAGGCCAGGCGTCAGCAGCACAACAATCTGTCTCCTTTATTTCCTGATTGTGTGCTAACCAAATCGAAATGCTTTGTCACTCAGTAACTAAGGTTCATTGACTCTGCTCAGATCCAATAATTTCCGTTAACTGACTAACGGGGCAGTGACTGATGCTGATGGTTTGACCCCGTTATGGTCGTACAAAAAAATAAATATACCAAAGCGAAGCTTTAGCTCCCTCATCTGACCTTGCAAATGTCTCTGTTAGTCTGTTTATCATTTTTTTTTGTGATGTGGCGTCATAACACATGGCACTTGCACACAAAAAGCTAATATACATACAAGAATCTAGAAGGTTCAATAGCTCACCGGAGTTCGGAATACACTCTAAATACATTTTTCATATATATTCTCATATTAATGAAATTCGGAATTAAAAAACAAAAGAGCTAGGGGAAGATCGAGTTAAAAAAATAAGTTTGGTCGTTAGTAAATTTAATCAATTGAACTTTTTTTTTGATATTTGAAAAACCCTTATTTCAAGAATTATAATAGTCTTCCAAGATAGGGTATAAATACTTCTTCCATGCTCTCGCACAACATGTTTTTATGTATTTATTAAGACTCCGACAGGCATATCTAAGCATGGATATATTAACAGAGAGGGCTCCTAGACAACCATCTCCTGAAGGAATGGGAGACAGCCACGAGATGAAAAGCCTGGCCAGATTTTAAGCCCCTTCTTTTTCCCACTCCGCCATAATTTTACCCAATTCACTGGTGGCGCGTGTTTCATCCAAACGGAAGCCATTTATGAAATTGCTTTCGACAAGAGAGCAACAAAGGCAGAAACATGATAAGCCACAACAACAATTACCACATCTCACGGGTTAAAAGTGGACTTTGACATGGACATCGGGCCAGGGACATGATTCACATATTCGCGTCATTTCATGACGTTAGCGGTTGAATTGCGGTTCAGTCTGGTCGATGTCCAAGGAGTTACACAGAGAAAAATCACCAGAATTGTAATTTTATCGTATCGATTAGAAATAACCTTTACCGAACGTGCTAGTTTATGGATGGCTTAATCGAAGATCGCAAATATGTAGGGATTATCAACCAATTATATTGTATTATCTTACTTATTGATTTAATTTTCAAGTTTTTTTTTGTTTTTATTGGTTATTAATAAAAAAAAACTGTTCAAGCTGAAGAATTTTCGTTTTTTATATTAAATTTAAAGAGAAAACCAAAAACAAAATGTAAACTTTTTCTTTAGGTTTTACTTTCTGTGCAACTGCGTCTATGCCGATAGCTTATGTGTGAAGCGACCTGTCAATTTGGCTTTTGTCGGGTGTCAAAGCTAAGCACTTTGTGTATAGCGGTTATTGCACACGAGATAAGTTTCTTGGGAGATAATAATACAGAGAGTGAAGTAAGTTGTTACTTAATCTTTTGTAACTGGTCAATAACCATTTGATAAGTATGCTGTACAAAATTGGTAAAATTGATTACAATAGCATTATTACACTCTACTTTATATTTGGTTTACTGGTATATTAGGTGGTAAATTTATATTTATTATTTAGTAGCAATTACTTCCTATCTTTAGTCCCAAAACTCCTAGGATATGATATTCCCAAGGAGAATAACACTGCTGACGTCAATAGCCGACTTGAAGGAAAATAAAAAAAAATGAACAGACAGACTGGACACACGCACTAAGTGCTACCTACCTGCCATATTGTTTATGCTCTATGAAATTGTTTATCACCTGCCACAAACACTCCCACTCATGTAAAATGCATAAATTCATACGATAGCAGGAAAAAGTTCATCTAATTGCCGGCGACCCTTTGCTCTTTCACTCTATTAATAGAATCCCACGGGGGATTTAAGTCTCCTTATCCTGAATTTGACTTCAATTTCCCTGGCTATGCATAATCAATTTATGCGTATGCCGGGTTAAATCTATAAATTAATTCAACCGTAAAAATAAAATGCCTACTCGGCGGGCCCATAAAAAGTTGATGTGCCAAAGTGCACACACCCACGCCATAAGCTTCGTTGATCAAGTGCGATTTAAATGCACAACATGTCGGGGGGTCGGACCAGGATGGCAATTACAGTGGGCACTGCCTGAGAGAATCCTTTTAAAAACAAAGAAACTACATTTTAAATTACGTATAAGTAAAGCAAAATCTTAATTTCATATTTTAATATCCTACAAATTCTACAAGAAAACTTGTTTCATTTGCTGAAGTCCGACTTTTCGTAGTTTCTACTGTAGAAGGAAGAGGATGCAGAGCGTCTTGGCGCCTGTCTTGCTGTGCTAACCCAGAAAGTGCCGATAAAGAAAGGGGAGATAAACGAAAGGGAGGATGGATAAAAGGACGGGAGACAGAGAAGGCAGGGAATATTATCTATCTTCAAAGCTTAGCCTTTCTCCCTCACTCTCGTTAGAAAGTGGAGCTCTGATTTCATTCATGAATACCAAACAACGTGGAGAAGCCTTTCTGACTTCTTAGCTTCATATATATGTATGTACATATGGTATATATATGTACATACATCTGTACATTGAGGAATTTATATATGGTGGGCGTGAAAATGTCAGCAGTAAATACAATTTGAGCATTTTCCGTTGTTGAGCTTCCATTCATTTGCTTAGATTTATTTTCACAATCTCTCTCTACTCAGTTTTTTTTTGGCATTTTCTTTCATCTTTTTCTAAACTGGCACAGGCAATAAAGGCTAATACGCCAAATAACAACGAACAAAATCCGAAAAGTTTTTTATACTTTTTTGAGGCCATTTTTTACTTCCCTTTTTAGGCATATTTTTAGCCAAGTTTTCATTTTATTTTTATTCTACTGCCTAAATGTAAGTGTGAAAGTTAAGGGATTTATGAGATCAGATTGACTGACTTACGATTAAAAGGTAAACAATGAATTAAAAGTAGTCAATAGAGTTGTTGAAAAGCTGACAGGTGTTCTAACTGTTACTAACTAAGATTTGAATTTAAATAGAAAATTGGAAAAGAAAATCAAGAGTAATTTTGGGAAAGCAATTTCAATTATGAACTTGGAAGCTTGAGCATGACTGAATTGAACTTAACCTTAAAAAGTTTTCTCAATAAAAACGATAATATTTGAGGGCTAAAAAATCCCAAAGGTACAATTTTAAAGCTTAATTTAAGGCATATATTTTAACAAAGAATCTTGACCATGACTGCAACCTTGGAAAAGCGACTTGTACTGTATAAAGTCGACAAAAAGAGCACTTGAAAATGTTCAGTATTCAAGTTCAATGAAAAGCTGGCATTGGCTGAGCAAGACAGAACTAGCATCCCTCTCTTTTCCCTTTGGGGAAAGAAATGTCTAAAGCTTAAGTGCAATGAATAGAACACGAAAAACAAACGCACAAACCTATGAAAACGCACACGTTTATTTGACAGGCTTGTTTGCTACTGTCATGCTTCAATTGAAAATCGAAGGGGAGAGAGAGAAGGGAAGCTCGAGAAACACACAAAGTTCTATTTGAAGGAGTGAGAGGTCAAAAGCTATTAATTGGCCAAAAACAAAACGGGATACAAGGTGCAAGATGGGAAGAAGGGCGCGGGAGAGATACAACAAGACAGAACACACTCAGAAACAAACACCCACACACTTACCAAGCGCCAAATGCAACTGTTTTTGTTGTTCTTCGTGCTTATCAGCGTTTCCTTTTATTCTTAATTTTCCTTTGCAGCTCGCAAAGAAAAACAAATAATAAGATGGGAAATACAATCAAACGCAATTGTTTTTACGAAGTATATATATTTTTTTATTGCGCGGTATGCGAAAAGTAATAAACATTCGCAGTTTAAATTCAAATTAACTTTTGGATTATTTTATTTCCTTGGAGCCACTTTTCACTGCACTTTTCGCCCGCGAGAGCGGAGAGAATCTGTTAGAGAGGAGAAGAACTGGTGTAATACAGCAATGACACTGCCGGTGCAGCTGTTAGACATCGAAACTTGCGCGAGTTATCGTGTTATCGGAGCTAGCGCAATCCCGCAGATATGCCTTTCACACTTGGCAAACTCGGGTAATTGCGTTGGGCTGTTATAAAATGGCGTTTGTTTGTTTTATATTTGTAAATGAAATACTAAAAAAACTGGGAAAGCAGCAGTGTATCCTAAAAAAAGAATGATATATAGGGGAAGAGAAAGCACGAAAATTTCCAACTGCCAATATTTTAACAAAAGTCTAGTAAATTATGAAATTAAATTCCATATTCTCCCGCCTTCAAGTGCTAGCTGTTTTGTTTGTTTTAAAAGTGACGCCCCAAACCGATAAAAACGCATAAGCAAGTGTAAACAGATCATAATAGGGCTCTGTTACTTAACAGCAATGCTTCTTAGCGAATTCACCTACTTAACCAACGCGCGTTTCTACATCGGTTTTAAAATATTTAAAAAATTATACAAAAAAATTCCTTCCGATGATATTTTGGTTCTAAAAAGTTCGACTATTAAGCTTGCGAATATTAAAAAAACGGAATGATTCGTAAGCCCCATAAACAATTGCTTTGATTTCTAAATCGATACACAAAATTATTTTTCTAAGAATGTTTTTCCCAGAACTCTATTAAAAACCTTAGACCACAGTGATTTGTATCGCATATTTTACGTTTATTTTGTTTGAGAAATGTCTAGAACACCAATAAAGTAAATTCAGTAGCAAACAAGTATGATTAGTATAATAATATTACCTCTTGTCGTTTGCATTTTATTGCTTTTCATGGCTTTCCTTGACTTAAGAATATGTCTATATAAATACCAGTAATATGAGTATATTAACCATTTCGGTTATGAAAAAGATTCTACATTCCAAATGCCGTTCCTATAACAGTTGTAATTGATTATTAGTATTTCTTGTTTAAGTAAGTAATTCGTTACAGTATGATAATGGTTTCACAAAGAATATAATACTGCGCATTTGCAACAGATTAGTTATTTTTAGGATACTAAATAACCCACATGAAGTAGGAAAACAATCAAAAATAGCCGCTACGTACTAATCAACAAATGTAATTTTCCTCCCTTTCGGTTATGCGTAATTTTTAAATATTTCTTAAATATTCTCAAGCACTTTGAATACATATTTACGTGGCTTATAAGTATCATAATTTAATTTTCATATTTAAATTGTGTGTACGTTTTCAACGGAATCTCAAAATTGCAAGGAAGATGTTTGTCTGCTTAGTAGTTGTTATACGTATTCTAGAATAATATGTGTATATAGCTAACGATCAGGAATTGTGCTGTATAAGAGGAAATAAAGAAAATTAAAAGAAAAGAAAATAATAATTTTGCTTTCGGTTCGTTTATTATCGTATCAATTTTTATAGATCTTAGCTAATAAATTCTGCTAGGAAATTATAAAATAAAAAATTCTTTAAGGAATAATATCGAGATTAAAGTTTGATTTTGTTGTTTTTATACAAATTGAACTTACAGGACTACAAAATGAATTTGACTAATGTACGAAAAACAATGACGATTTATAGTGTTAAATCTAAACAAGGTTTAAGGCCCGAGCTGAGGGAAGTTTTCTTAGCTGAAAAATTGCACAAAGTGGATATGTCTTTGCATGGATTTTGGAAAACTTGAAGGCTTTGTCAACTCTGGCTTGGTCCCTTCCCCAGCTGAAACCCTTTTCATTAAATTCACATAGTCCGAAACTAAAGATTAGAAACTAGTTTACATTTTAAGCTACTCTTTTGATGCATCTCACATAAAAAATAATGTACATTGGTTTTTTATGCTATATATGTATAAACTAGGTCTGCATTTTCTACATCCTCACATCTTGGTTTTTGTTACCCCCGAATAACAACAAATTGAACAGCTTTATGAATTTTGGTTTTTCGTTATCCCACTCCACGAGTTTTGGTGTTATGATTCTGTATAATGTATAATCCCATCCTACTAATGAAGTTTACCCTTGACTTTTACACGGCTTTGTACAGTATTGTAGTTGAAGGGGCAGAGGTATGCTTGTATGAGTTATAAGATGATTTCCGTCGAGCTCTGCTGCAGTGGATCGCACTGGTAGACCTCGGAGTTTGGTACGGACGAGTACTTGGTGTTTCTCTTGCTGGGTGCTGCAGGATTTTGGGATGCAGCCGTGGTGGTGGTGTAGCTATAGGTGGTTCCACACCCGTTCAAACTGGTGACAGTGCTGACTAATCCGGGTCCCGGAAACTTGGCCACCGTCACCACGCTGGCTGTTAATGTGGCCGTGGAGGAATCATTACTTCCTGCCGTCCCTTGACCCTGTTTGGCAGTGGGTTTCCTACGCACTGGCGTCTCCTGCAGCACGGCGGATTTCTTGATGGTCTGCTGCAGCAGGGCATTCACATCGATTGCTGGCCAGGCGACCAGCGAGACACTTCGTCATAAGGAGTTGTCCACGGGAGAAGAGCCGCGTTTGTGCTTGCCATGCGGTTGGCGATTCCAGTGTTTGCAGGACGGTGGCTCCACTTCCTTCTCCTTCAGATCCCTCGCCTCATTCCTCTCCAGCTGCTTGTCCCTTTTGGCCTCCTCTTTGATGGGAAAGGATGTAGCTCCTCCGGCGGTGGACGACAACGAGAAGTACTCCGCTGATTGGCTCAGTGAGGAGGCATCTGCATCGGTTAGGCTGCCTCCACCATTATCACTTCGCATGGTGTGATCGCCATGATCCTGTTCCATGAAGGAAGACCTCTGGGTGCTGAGGGGTGTCAGTGTACTACTATGCATATCATCGCCCTCTTGCGATGGAGTTATGGTATGATCTACAGCCGTACAAAAGCTCTCCCTCTGACCTGTGGTCTCGTCGTCCTCATCATCGGCTTCCTGCTCCTCCTCCTCCTCCTCATCTTCCTGAGAACAGGTGTCACAACAGCAGTTGGCATTGTGACAAGAGCAGAAACTTGCTCTCCGGGAACCGGGAACACATTGATGACACTCCGCTGACACGGTCATTTCATGGTGGGCCTCCAGATCTTCATCCAAACTGCTGCAGGAACAGGAGCTGGAGCAACTGCTGCAGTAATCCTGCCCAGCTTCGGCTATAAAACGTTTTCTCTTGATCCTAACACATTCATTTCGCACTGGAGCGGAGGCAGGTTTACCCCTTTTTGTGGAGCTACTGGAACTATTCGTGATGGCCGGCTGCGTTAGATGGGTCTCATCTTCTGGCAAATGGTGCGAGCCCATCCGCACATCGTCGTCATCATCATCGTCGTCGTGGGAGAGTTCATCGGTTTCAATGGTGGTATTGGAATTCAGGGAACCTCTCCTATGACGATGCTGCTCCCGAAGAGGAGCCATTATAATGGGTTTCACACCCTCGCTGGCCACCTTATAGGGAAAATTGGAGGTGGCTGTGCTGCTGTTGTTCTCCTCGCCATCCTCGCTCATTGTGGCCGCATCGATTTCGATGGCTATGGCCTGATGATGCATCCCCTCTTCGCTGGAATCCAAGGAAGACTTGTTGTTGTTGTTGTTGCGGGATGGAAGCATTTGTTTGTGATTCGACTGCTTGATTTGCAGATGCTGCGGACTATGACTATGGTGGTGGTGGTGGTGACTCCTCTTCTGGTGCAGCAGAGCTCGTCTCTTTGTGCTCCTATAGTGACAGCGATGATGTTGATGATGCCTATGGTGATTGCAGTGGCAGTGATGATGGTGGGTGGTAATCACACAGCAACAACTACCGCTCTCCAATCGCGTTTGCGTGGCATTGTTACGCTTGCGGCGACAGCAGCCGCTCGCCTCCTGATCGCCAATCAGTCTCTGCTCCTTGGACGCCGGTGAATGGACAATGACGACCTCCAAGGCAGCTGCCATGCTGCTGTCATTGTTACTCTTGCCACTGCCTCCTGGTCTGGGCAACATCTTGTTATTATTGTGATACTGAAACGCACGATTGTCGTGGCACTGACCAAAGTCCAGCACCTTGAAGTGCTCATCATCCGCCCGAGCCGTGAGCAGATGATCGTCTCCGCTGCTGCTCACTGTGACGGGCAACGAAAGCTGATGCTCCTCGGAATGGGATGTATGTAGGTCGTGGTTGTGGTTGTGGATGTGCTGTGGCTGTTCTTCGGGGGCAAACTGCTAATCGCCGCGTCGCAGGTCGCGCGGCTTGGAATTCTTGCGGTAGAACCACACCTGTGACAGGATCGCTATGTCCAAGCTGACCTGTAATTCAATAATAATAATAATAACATATATCCTTTGCAAAAGATATCTAGGGGTAACGCTATGCTACTTGCCTGCAGCGTGCCGCAGATCCAGAATTGCGATGGTGCTTTCCTAACAATAAAATAACCAGTCTTAAACATATCACCAAGCGTCCACATGATCACCATGTGTATGCTCATTCCATATGTTGATTTATTCTTAAAGTTGCGCAAAAATTGTGGCGCCCCTGTTTAAATAAATAATTATTTTGTTAATAGCTTTTGTGGATAGCTTGAGTTAATATTGCGACTCACCCAACATGGCCTCAGTGAAGACGGCCACAAAGCCCATGGATTCCATGAACCAATGCACGGACAGCATCAGATATGTTATAGCGGCGCCCAACGCCCACACGACGAGCATAAAGTCCAGATACGATTGAAAGTCTGACCAGCTCCAAAAGTATTTGAAATCCAGATCTGTTAATAGGATTTAAATTATATATCAGTTTTTAAGAGACTAATATGCAAACGTGCTACATTATATGTATTTCGTATATGTTACAGTAAACTTACAAACATCCCTTTTCATATTTCAGAAATGATTTTAAAAACGAACAAAAATTTGTTTTCTATTAGAAAAAGAAACAGAGTAAATCTATCTATTTGTATTTTTGCTCATTTAAATAATCATATGTCTTAGCCTTTGTAAAATACATTTGATAAAACCTATATGTAAAATAATGTGTTAGAAA